GCCGTCTTGGCCCCCGGCGGCGGCTCCGTCAGGACGTAGGAAGGCGGCGGCGGGGGGTACGCGGGGCTCGGCGCCCCCTCCTCGCCCTTGGGAACGCCGCCCTCCGGCTCTGCCTTCCTGCCCAGCGCCTTCTTCTCCGCCTCCTTCTGCTTCTGCTCGGCCAGGAAGCGCTCCTCGGCGTCCAGCAGGTACCGCTGGATCATCTCCTCCTGGTACTGGTGCCGGTTGCTGGTCTTGAGGTGGCCGGCGAAGATGAACTTGCGCTCGCCCTGCATGGCCGCCCGCAGGATGCTCAGGCTCAGCCTCACGTCGTTGCTGTATTTGTAGGGATCCGCCGGCTTCTCCGCCGCCGCTTTGCCGGATTTCTCCGCCGGAGCCGCCGCGTCTCCTCCTCCCTGCTGCCTTTCCGTGTCTTCAGCGAGCCCTTCTTCTTCTTCTCCAGGGTGTCCCCGTTGCTCACGCTGCCCTTCATGGTCTTGCTGTGCATCAGGCCGCCCATGTTCTTCTTGAGCTTGCTGCCCAGCGTCTTGCCGAAGCTGCCCAGCTTGTTGGCGACCGAGTCGGCCCGTTTCTTGTCCTTCTCCTTGTCCCGCTCCTTCTTTGGTTTCTCCTTGTCCCTGCAGGCCCGGCCGCCGCCGTTGCTGGCCGAGCTGCTGCACACGGATTCCTTGTCGGAATCGCCCGACTCCGCGGCCGAGCGAGCGTCGTCGCCAGCCGAAGCCGTCGGCGATTCCGGCTGGGCCAAAGGCGCCTACGGAGAAGGGAAACGTGTATCAAAAAGCAAAGTTGCCCAGGGAGCAGCCTGGAGGAGGGACGGACAAGCAAATGTTTGCAGGGGCAAGGGGACCGCATCTGATATCTGGGGTTATTTCACACCCTGCAGCACCAGAGAGAAGCCCACGGGATTAAATCCACCCCGGATCACTCTCTGTGGAACTCAGGGTCCCAGCAGCACCCCGGAACTGCAGCATTTCCATGTTAAAAGGTCCTCAGTCGCTGCAGTCTTAAGGGTGAAATCCAGATCTTAATGAGTTAGCAGGAGGGGTCCAAGCACTCCCCACTCCGGATACCCGCGGGCAGTGACACGGTGGGGACAGGGACACGTTGCAGTAGATCAGATAGTGGTGAAGGTGCTGATTTAACCCAAATTTCGAGCTTTGCCAATCGCATCGCCCAAGTCAGCTGCTGGGGGCTGCACACCCACAGTTTGCTGTTCGCCTTGGAATAAGCAGCGGTCGGATTTGCTGCCAGACCCCGACGCAGCGGGATGGACCAGGGCTCTCAAATTCACTTGGAGAGTGAAAACAGGCGTGGAAAGCTCAACTACACAAGTGCACACTCAGCAGATGCTGCTTATCTGCTCGCTGCAGCAGCAGCCACGATTTCTGATGGCAGCCCACGCAGGAGAGCGCCCGAGACGACCTCCCTGCTGCTGCTCTACCCAGAAAAAGAGGCTTAAATAATCTTAAAAAAAGCAAAGAGAACCCTCCTGGCTTGCTTACCTGCGTGTCACAAGGCAAGGTGATCCATTTAACATTCATGTAGCTGTGCAGCAAGTGCAGCTTTGCTTCCAGCGACAACGTCACGCTGAAACACAACGAGTGCAAGAAATTATAGCCAAGGTTTATTACCTCTTTTCTGTATCCATAGAGCTAATTGCTCACCACCTTTGTGTCCAAAAACATATTTTAAAAAACTGTACCAAGACAGCAGCAATATGAAATTCATTTAGGGTTTCCCAGGACTTTAGCAGCACATAAACTGCACATGGGGGTGTTGTTTTATGGCAGGCAAAGGGACAACTGCCTCTGAAATTAATAAATGGCTTAACAGATCCGGAGGAAAAGAGGATTAAGTTACACCGAGTGCACAAACACACGGCCACGGCACAAGTGTATCATGTTGTCAATTATTCAGTGAAGCTCCAGTTCTTAAATGGACTGAAATTTAAAGACCAGATAGTCAAACACGGGACCACATTTGTGTTAGGTGCTTTCAGATGCTAATAGGTGAATCTTATCCACCAGGACCTCAAAAACGAGCCCATTTACATTTCCAGAGTTGCATAAGAGAGAAGGAAAGCATAGCACTTTTTTGTTTTTATTTATTTTTTATTTTTTTAAATGCACAGGCAGGATTGAATTATAGGAAAATAACTTTTTTGCAGCCTTCTAAACTTTTCAGTAATAAAAACCAAAAATAGTAAGTGAGAAGATTCCTATAGGTCAGAATTACAATTAACTCTGCAAATCATCTTATCATCTGCACCTAAGACAAATAAAATGATGTCATGGCTCTAAATAGAGGCAGTTTCAAAATGATCCTTCCCCTCCACAAAAGTCATTTCAGAAAAAATAAAGATGTTTTCTCAAAAAAATTTCCGCTTTGTCAAGAATTAAAAAAAGCAGCAGCTATTTCCACTGAAAACACACAGACAGAACATTCTCTATGGGCTCCAAACCCTCAGAATGAGACGTTTGTACCGCGTGACACAGGATCTCTAAGACCTGCTCTGAATTTTGCTGCTTTGATCTTAGAGGCTTCTGCATTTCCTAACCCCGAGTCATATGATGGAGCCTCCAGCTCCCTGACCACTCCACCCACTGCTGCTGCCTCAATAACAGGAAACCCACGAGCACCAAACCAGGCCCCAGGCTGGCTCCAAACTGGGCAAAATGAGCCACCCAGGGCCCACGTTCAAAGATATTTGCTGTCCAAGTCCCTGCTGCTCACACAGGGACAAAGGCACGAGGAATAAAAACACTTTTAGGGGGGAATGCAGGCTCTGTTATTTCTCATTTGCGATCCACGCTGGTCTGAAGCCCTAGCGCTCGGCGCGATCGCATCACTACGTTGCTCAAAGGGTTTTAATATTTACCAAAACGCTCACAGGATTGGAAAAGGAGGAAGGAAAAGCGGCTGCGCGGGGACCAACCTGGCCAGCTTGACGTTGTCGCCGTCGTCTCTGCCCCACTGCCACTCCTTGCCGGGGTCCACGGCGAAGTGCACGGGCAGCAGCTTGTGCTCCGAGTCCGTCAGGGGGATCACGGCTGCAGGGGAAGCCATGGAGGGTCCTTAAAGGCCACCGCATGTCCCTGTGTCACCGCGTGTCCCTGTGTCACCGCGTGGTGGCACAGGGACAGGGCCGGCCGCTTCCATGCAACGGGCAAGCGGAGCCAGGCGCTCTGCAGGGCTCCCCCAGGTTGCTGAACCCCAAGGTGACCTTCACCAAGGCCACCACCGCTGCTCGACGCCAACGTTTGTCACCTCAATCCATCTCCTACCTTGATCCTTTGTGGGTTCCTTCTGCTCCATGGATACCAGGGCAGAAAAATGAGCTTGGTCGTAGGCCAGAACCAATGGAGAGCGATGGCATTTGTTGGCGGGGACTTCCAGGGGAAGATAGATGCCTCCGAAGGGAATGGGTGCAAAGGCTGGAAAGAATTCCACACAATTAATTTGGGAAGAAGAGGTGAAAGGATCGCTCATGCTGAAACTCCAGAACAAGCCAGCTTGTTTCAAGGCTTTACCTGTGATTAATTTGAGGGAAGGAAAAAAAAAAAGCCCCAAAACAGATATTTATTTTAATTCAGGAGGCAAGCAGTGGCAAAAGTAACCTACGTTTTCTGTAAAGCTGGGCTTTCCTCCTCCACAAGAAGGCTTAAATTTGCACACCAAATGATGGTAATTGATTATTTTTTTTCTGACAGGAAATTAAGTCTGCTAGCGGAAAATGCTGTATGAAGGGAACGGAATTTCCCTCCTACACACATACACACCAGGGTTGAAATAAAGAAAACATGTGTGATAGTTTTAAGAGAGTATCAGACTATGATACTTAGATGTACGTCTCACCCAGGCATAACCCAGCAGATCAGCACCCCTTGCTCTAGGGTTGCATTCAAACCCAACATCCCGGAGCAAAAAAAAGCCCCACAAAACTGCAGAAAGGAGGAAATGTGTCTTTTATTTCTTGTCTATGCTCAAGGTGCAATTTGGGCCATGCAGTTTGGTGCCATTTACCTTCGCCGCCCGAGTCGCGCAGCATCGTGTCTGCCACCACCACGATGGGTCTCTTCAGCACGTGGGCGAGGACAAAAACGTGGAATTCCTCCAGGCTCTCGTACACCGGCTCTTCGGAGCTTTCCACCCTTTGGAAAATGAGACATGTGATCTGACTTGCATCCCATGGGTATTTAATCAGCACTTTTAAAACAGGAGGGGAAGAGGTCTTCACAGGCAGCCGTATTAAAGCAGAACACATAAACAGCCCTACTTTGAGATTTTAGTCTCATTTTGGGCCACCACCATGAAGAAAATGGAGGAAAAAATAAAGATATTTTATACACATGCTGCCTACCCTCCGCAGTTGCCTCCGTTGGTGCCGTAGTGGACGCGGGGCTCGCTCGACGCCAGCTTGATCAGCTCGTTCCACTCTTTCTGCCACTCCTCTTCTGTGTAAACCAGGCCGGACTGGAAAAAAAGGCAAAGAAATTAATTTTCAACCAATTTGTGTCTATTTTTATAGGCGCGAACGCATCGCTTCTCTACGGGCCTATGCAAAAGAGCTAGTGTTATGTAGAAGTAGTCGCGTTTGCAGGTTCTGCTAGTCCAGACATGCAGCAAGTTTGCCCTTCCTTACTAAAAAGAAAAGGAGGAAGCTGGAATGTAAAGGAATCTTTGGATATCAGGTGAGAACTGAGGTTTACTCTGCTCCCAAAATGTGGGACGCACACGGAGACTTTACTGCAACGGGATGTGCATCCCAGACGTGCAAGATTGTGCCCAGGCTCTGCTTCCCAGCACATTCCTACCTCCTTGTTCTGCTGTGTCTGTTGCCAGCGCCACCTCCGCTTCAGGGCTTCCCTTTCCACACCTTTATCCATGAGGGTGTAGAGGGATTTGCGCAGCATGAGATCCCTGTCGTGGAAACCCCACATCCCTGCGTGGAGGGAAAGGAGAAATAAGAAGCCATTCCCTGAGGATTAGCAGCACGCGGCACCGCTGCGTCTTCTGCCACCTGGAAGTCCTGGAGCTTCCTGCAAAGCAGGGAGCGAGGAAACTGGGAAATGCAAGTTTAATAAATAAATACATTAGTTAATTAATGACTATGCAACTCCTGGGGCAAATACTGCGCGTGCTGCATCTACAGCGGGTATTGACACCGCGAGGAGGAGAAGCTGCCACTTCTGGTTCTCAGCAGGAG